TGAATCTCAACTAAATCGTTTTATTCCAAATTTAGGTCGAGCACGAACCTCAAACACGTAAATTCAGAGGTCGAACACGAATCTCGATATCCTTACCTAAGGTCGAGTTCGAACCTTAACTAAATCATTTTACTCCAAATTGAGGTTGAGTATGAACCTCAAACACGTAAATCCCGAGGTTGAATACGAATCTCGATACCCTTACCTAAGGTCGAGTTCAAACCTTAACTAAATCGTTTTACTCCAAATTGAGGTCGAGTACGAACCTCAAACACGTAAATTCTGAGGTCGAATATGAATCTCGATACCCTTACCTAAGGTCGAGTTCGAACCTTAACTAAATCGTTGTACTCCAAGTTAAGGTCGAGTACGAACCTCAAACACGTAAATTTTGAGGTCGAATACCAACCTCGATATTCTCACTTAAAGGTCGAGTTCGAACCCTAATTAAATCGTTTCATTCAAACTTGAGGTCGAGTATGAACCTCAAGTACTCTAATTCCGAGGTCGCATTCGAACCTTAACACATTTGCTTAAGGTCGGATGCAAAGCCTAACATGTTAACCCAACGATGAGTTTGAACTTTCACAACAAAAAACTAAGACCGACTTCGAACCTTGCAAGGGTGATCAACTCAAAGCGGTGAAAAAACATAAATGACAAAGAATCAAACGCAGACGCAGACGAAGAAAAATGCATATATATACATTCAAGCCAAGTCCTCAAGGTTCAATACATAAATCCGAGAAAAAGAAAAATAAACTAAGCTATTACAAAGGCGGCCTAGGCTGGACATTCCCACTAGAACTGTCATCGACATCGTCCTCCTTGACTAGCCTCCTAAAGCGGACGACCTTCTCCACATGCATGGAAGAAAAGTCGAACCCAGGAGCAAGGAGCCGTGCCTGACGAGCAGCCTTTTGGAAGCCCCTCTTGTGCTCCATCACAACAGAGCCCTCGACCTCCGCAAGCCTCTTTTCTGAGGCCGCCTTCTCCGCCGCCAGCTCCGCCCTTAAGGAGGCAATCTCGTCCTCCCGGCCACCTAGAATGACCTCGCTACGGAGGCACTCCTCGGCCACCACCGACAACTCTCCCTTAAGAGAAGTGACAACGTCCTCTAGAGCCCGCACTTGGCCACGAGAAGACGTCACCTGATCCTCTAAAGAGCAGACGCGACCCCGAGAGAAGGCAACGAGCTCCTACAGCTCCCCCACCTAGGAGGCACAAGCCTCGTTAGACCACAAGGCGATCTCAAGAGACTTCTGCACCCTTGCAAGGTCGCCCCGCGCAGATCGAAGCTCGGCCTCCTGCCGCTTCGCCTCACCAAGGGCAGCGCTAAGAGCCTTGTTCTCCTCCCTCAGGATCTTATTCGCATCCTTCCAGGGTTGAAGTCGGCCCCTCAGCTTGGCCAAGTCCTCTTGTTGCTTGGCCAGGTCCTCTTGCTGCTTGGCCCACCTAGGCTTCTAGTGGCCCATTATGCCCATCACCCTTTGCAAAAGGACCTGGGCAGCGTCGAAACTATCCTCGGGGCCGACCTCGTCTATCAACCCCTGGTCCTCAGAGCTCAACGAGCCCTAAGGGAAGAACTTCTCAGCGGTCACCCCCGCGCTCCACAGCGAATCCATGTCGGCCGGGGCGCTCACGTGGTCCAGCCGCACCTTTGAAAGGCCCTTCCTGAAGCGATGAGCTAGGTATCGACTCCGGGAAGCCCCCTGTGACGAACCGAACGGTGGCGCTGAAGCTGCAGTGGTGGACGAGGGAACCTCACGACTTGGACCCTCTCCACGAGCCTCAACAGAGGTAGAAGCCGGCGTCCACTGCTCGGCATCCAGAAAGTCCATAATAGGGACCTCTGACCTCGCCTGCAAAAACCAGCCCCAAGTTAAAATATAAACTATGTGGCATTCCAAGAACTACAAAAATAAATAAACACTACTTACCCCAGCAGCATGGGTGGCCCGCTCAGTGGCTGGGGCCACTACTTCGGTAGCGGGAGTGGCTGGCCCAGCGCCAGGGGTTACCATCCCGGAAGCGTTTCCTGCCTGCGAAAAAATGGCCCCAGATCAGAAGACAAGAAAGCATAATAAGAAACAACGAAAAGCCGAAGAAACAAGATACTCACCACCTCGGCAACTCGAGCAACTTGCTCAGCAGCCTGGGCTCCTACCTCGGCGACAGCCACCCCGACCTACAAGAAGACCCATACCGCCTCAATAAACCAAACAAAATGAACACAGAAGAAACGTATTAGGAAATAAGACACTCACCTCGGCGGCCTGCGCAGTAGGCTCAACAAACTGGGCCACCTCCCCAGTAACCACTAGAGGAGCCTCTTTGGACGGTGGACTCTTAGTGAGATCCACCGCATCAACATCGGCAGCCCTGGAGGTCACCTCCTCGGCATCCGGAGGGACGGAGGTTCCCCCGACCTCTTTTCCCCCTCTCTTTCTCTTCTGGCTAACCTTCACGGGGGCAACATCCTCCTCTAGGGGCTCGGGAACCTCGAGTTCAGTAACATTGTAGCGATGCTTAAGCTCGCGCCACAAGTTTTTCCCCATAATGCCTACAAACAACAAACAGAAACACATCAGCAAAGGGAAATTACGCAAACCCTAGCAGTCGAAGGAGGGCGAAATACTCACTCTCTAGACCCCTCTTCCTGTAGGGCGAATTCGCAAGCGACAGAACGAGCTTGCAATCCAACGAACGAGGGAGCGCCGCAAGATTCTCAATGGCGGCCACCTCCGAGGCCGTCACCTTCAGGTTACCCAAACCGTGAAACCTATACGGTTTAGGGCACCAATAAAAAGGAAATTTCGGCAACCCACCGAAATGAAACACCTCGTCTTCCAAAGGGTCGACACCCACAAGAGTGACCCGGAAGAACTCTTGTTTAAAATTTTTATATGACTGGGAGTAGAGAGTAAATAGACCCCCATCCCTACTCCCACTCAAAGACAAAATGCCGTAAGGCGGAACACCTATCTTCAGCTGATAAAAATGAAGAAAGACGCGAAGAGACACCTCTATCCCCAGAACTGTACACAGGACTTGAAAAGCCCTCAAGAAACCCCAACTGTTGGGATGCAACTGGCAAGGAGTCGAGTTGATAAAATTCAAAAAATCACACTCAAACTGAGTGAAGGGAAGAAAAACACTTAAATCCCTAAAAAAACAGAGGTACATATAAAAATGAGGAGGGTCGGTAGACTTCCCCATGTACACACCCTTATCGGCCTGACAGGGTTCGAGCCGGATCATACGGGAAATGGAAGGATCATAGACCCTACACGACCTCGGAATCCCGTTTACCTCAAGAAAAGACTGAAAAACGCTTTGGACCTCCGCCATCTCACGTTTAACCCAGTCATAACCAGGGACGCCTGGCTCCAGGTCCTTGGGCGGCGGCGGGTCCTTCCTCTCAGCAGTGGCCCTTCCAGTGGCCACCGCCTTGCCGTGCGCCCTGCCCTTGGCAGACGCAGAAGAACCAGCACCACTTCCACCGACCATTAAAGAAAGGAGGAAGCTCGAAAAAGATTTGGGGGAAAAGAGAAAGAAGAAACAATAAAAAGGAAGTACCTGGTACTCCTCCTCAGAAAATAACCCTAACAACGAATGGGTTATCGGAAACGGCGGCGGAAACAGGGAAAAAAGGAGACGGAGGATGAACAGAAGCAAGAAGACAGAGAGAACCAGCAAGAAGTCGAGAGAGCGAAAAGTGAGTAAAGTGAAAAGAGGAAGAGGCACGAGGGAGAGAAAAAGCTTTCCCCAAATTCAAAACGGCCACGCCACGTGTCGACCAAGGGGCACGTCTGACGACACATTAATTGCAAAACCATCATTGTATAACCGTCATTTCCCTTAATGCGTCACTTGCACGTTTCCAGGAAATGAACAGTGTGACACATGGCACCTCTGCAAGCAACGTACGCGAAAGGTCACTTCCCCCAGCGAGCTCGGCCTTAACTCCTCGACCTACAGTCTTCGGAGCTCGGGGGACTAGTGTACTAACCGTACCGAGCAGCCGAGCTCCGAGCTCGGCACCACAGCGCGAGCCAACCTCGAACGCGTACTGGACGACGTCAGCTCGGTGTTTAGATGAATCACACTGATTCTCGAAGATCTCGCCCCAGACGAGATCTACTATTTAATCATATTATATCTTATCTCAGGCCCAAGGCCCAAGGCAATCCTAATTCACACTCAGGTACGTGCATTACTTATACGAAACTCATACTCATACAAACCCTAACTTTAGCATCGGAGTCTCTTTTGCAGGTACCACCCCCATCTTGGAGCACCAGCGTACCCATGAAGGAAGCTCACCGATTTTACCAGACGGATCAGCTCTACAGCAGATTTCCGGTAAGAACAGTTTTATTAATAAAAATAATAGTAAACAATATATGATACCATAACGAAATTTATCAACTAATAATTTAAATCAGAAAAAAATATATTATATAATCGTGGTCTAAATCAAAAATCTTATTGACGTTACAGTCTTCATGACTTTAAAAATATTATAATTAACAAAATTTGTTTTTAGATTGAACTTGAGAATAATAATTAAATATAAATATGATATGAGTAACAAAGTGCAGATTGTATACCACATTAATTGATTCATGTCCTTGATAATTTATATGATAAGATTTTATTAAGCATAATAATCAATTTTTTTTATTTAATAAAAAAATATAATTTTTTTATTGAATAATATGTTAAAAAATAAAATAACTTTTTTGTAACTCTATACTCAAGTCAAAATTTAACTACAAACTTTGGTTAAAAAGAGTTAATATTTTTTACTAATAATATTTTTGATGGATAAAAATTATATTAATAATAACAAAAATCAAATCTAGATTCTTATACATACAATCATCTGCATATGCAACATTTAAACAAAATCTGATAATTGTATACAATTTTATATATATATATATATATTTTTTTTTTTAACCACTTCCCAAATTACTCTAATGATATGCAACATTATGGAGGAAGGTACTTGCGAGATGACAAAGGTAATTAATTAAGCTTAGTAAACATAACATCACTGTAAGATAGTTCTAATCCAATAAATAAATAACATATACAGTAAACTTTTTTCACTTGTTCAGGAAGAAACCGAAGTTGTGACTATTAGTGGCTACCACGACGTGCCACAAAACAATGAGCAGAGCTTATTGAAAGCACTTGCAAACCAACCCCTCAGTGTGGCCATAGAAGCTTCAGGCAGGGATTTCCAATTTTATAGTGGGGTATGCTTAATTAATTATAAACCAAATCTTAACATGTCACTTTTAGTTAACTTTTATTGGAAAAAAATAATTTGAATTAATTGGATTACCATATGTAGGGTGTTTTTGATGGACATTGTGGAAGTGAGCTAGATCACGGTGTGGCAGCTGTTGGATACGGAAGTTCAAAAGGAGTCGATTATATCATAGTGAAAAATTCATGGGGATCTAAATGGGGAGAGAAAGGATACATAAGAATGAAGAGGAACACTGGAAAGCCAGAGGGTATTTGCGGAATCCTCAAGATGGCTTCTTATCCCACTAAGAAGAAATAAGATTCATTCACTCTATCACTTACTCCATTGTTGTTTCTTATTTTCTTTCCTTCTACTAATTAATTTCCCAATGTCTGCCTATTTCAGCCTTCCCTTGCAAACAATGTAAAGTTTCCCATATCATAATAAAATCTTGATTAACTCTTTTCTTATTCCCTTGGGCATTTGTCCCCTCTTTTCTATCTTTCATTATTCCATTGTTGGAAATGATTGTAGGAAATAGAAATATCTTAATAAAGGTATATATAAAGTTCATGATTAAATATTTAGTACAATTCATTTTCTAATTAAATGAAAAGCACATAAATAAAACTATCGAGATATTAACTATCCTAATTTAAAGATTATAAATTTATTTGTCTATTTATAATATAAATAGTGAATAATAAATTATTACGTTGTTATGTTGTTATAAAATCAATCTTACACATTGTTATATTAGCATATTTGTTTATGTACCAATTTTTCTAAATTTCTATCTTTTATCATATTTTTTCATTATTCTCTATATTCTATCATGAGAAGAAGAATTGCAAATTAGAAAAACACAACACTTCTAACCTGAAATTAGATTTATGATGTTTTGTTTCAATGTGCACAAGTTATGTGTCCAAAAAGTGAAAAAATAATAGAGACTTTAAGCATAAATATACAATTATTTATAGATTTGATGTATTAAACATAAATTTTAAATTATTTATCAATATGCAATTGTTAATTTTGCAGGAAAATGATGGAAAAAGAAATTGTTAAAGCTAAATTAGATCATCATATATTTATTATCAATATGATTTATTTATTTTTATTTTTATTAAAAGGGTCAATCTAGGATGAGATTGACTTTGAATTTTTGGGTTCAGCCATGACAAAGGCAACAATTCTATCTATTGCATGGACACCATGAGATTTCCTCAAGGCCTTCCTCCAGAGTGTCAACCATCATGAATTTCTCCAAATCCCACAAGAAACAGATACCACCACACAATAATATGACTTTCAGATCACTTTCTTTCTAAGAAGGTTGAATTGGTTCTCACTTGTATGTTGATTCTTTTATACTTTCTTAATTCTATTACAGGAAACAGAAAGAAGCATTTATATTAATACTTTCTTGAAAACTTTACAGAATACAAATTCATCAAAAATTAATTTGTTTAAGCTTAAATTATTTTTTTCAGAGCTGCAGAAATATATAATTAACCATGGTTAATATTTTTGTGGAATCTTTAATGATTATCATTTACGTGATAAATGTTAACTTATATTAGGAGTCTTGTATTAACACAATGTGATACTTAAGTTTTAAGGCTCTCTCATTTAGTTTTTTGAGTTGAATTTTTATACATGTTTAAATTCTAACAATTGGTATAAAAAAGACAACCAATTAAGGAATAAATGGTAGATACAGTTATGAATTAAAATAATATTATTTCACTTCTAAAGTATTATTCGAGATTAGTTTAAATTTTAAGAGAAATATATTAGATAAAAATAAAATTAAAAACTCTCTCAATTTTTTTTTCTTCTTTAAGTTAGTCTGATCCTTTTTCTTGATCCTTAAAGAAAAGTTTTAAGATTAAATATATTTTAGTTATTTTTAAATTTTTTTTTTCTTTTAGTCATTATATAAATTTTATTTAATTTTAGTTTGTAAAAGTTTTTTCAACGAAAAAGAATTTTAACGGTGGAGAACAAAAATGTTTTAAAAAAAGCTTGAAGAAAAAAAAAAAACAGTAAAAATTCAAGGACTACAACTAATACAAAATTTATTCTGAAACTAAAAGTAAAAATCCAGAAAAAAAAAACATATTTAATCAAATTTTATATGCAGGTGTAATATACAATATAAATATTATATATTAGTGTAAATTATATATTTAGTCCATGCATTTGTACAATATACAAGATAAAGATTTATTTTATATGATCAATTTTATAATAAATAAGTATCTTTAATTATATATATATATATATATATATATATATTAAAGTTCTAAAAATAAGTAAATATTTTGAGTATATAAATTTTATAATTAAATTTATGATAAATAATTTATAGTATATATACGGTTATTTATAATTATTGATATTTTTTTAAATAAATTATTGGAATTTAATATATAAATAAATATGAAAATAATATATAGAAACTCTGAAAGAGATAAAAAGAATTTTAAAAAAGAACCTTTAAAAATGTAGTCATTAAAGGACGCTTTCATTATTCAAAATAGTTATTATACTTTATACGAGGAGAGATAATTTTTAGGGTGATAAACAATAACAAATGTTTTCAATTTTGTTATGAAAAAAAAAATCAAATATAGTAATTGTTCTAGCAATATTATTTAGGGAGTCTCAGTGATACTTTTATAAAATGACGTACTTTAATGCTGACTAATAGAAAGCATTGGATTCACATCTATAAACTATAATGAAAGATTTATTTATTGAATTTTCATGTTAGTCAAACCAATAAAACCATAGTCATAAACCTCCTTCTTTATGAAAAAAAGATTTTAAATCAATAAAACCCTTTACAATCAAATCTTTCTCCACTATTCTTTTTTATCCTTCTTCACAAGCTTGATTGATAGAAGAACTTTACAAAAATCCATAGTGACTACATGTTTTATCAACTGAATTATTATCTAAAAAAACACACCATGAAACCATACGTGATCTAAATCCCCTCAAATTTACCGAAATAATGTAGAATTTCTCAATTGTTTTATCTTTGTTTTAAAAGAAAATCTCGTATCATTCTAATAGATTTTTTTTCTTCCTCTTTTCAAAAAGAAACGAAGGTTCTCTTACAGCACCAAAGTATACATTCTATCTTGTGGCACATAATTAAGGCATGTGATATTATGCGTTAATGTGAAGCCACTGAAAGAACATACTTGAAGACTACTTTATACTATGCTATAACCATTCCGCATACTTTACTTTGAATGAAACATCTCAAAACACAACCTATATACACTCCTCTCTTTCCCATTCTTCCGTATCTCTTCCCTTCTTCTCTTGTAGTCACACTTCAACAACTATAGCCATGGCTTTCTCCTCTACCAAGGCATTTCTCCTTGCATGCTCCTACATGTTCCTAAAACATAACTCGATCCAGTCTGCTCCTCTTGAATCACCCAAGTGCAGATAGATAGACTAAGGACAAATTTTTAGCAATATCTAACTAAATTAAGCTAAGAGAGCGCAAACTGTATCATCCCTCCAACTAATATTACACAAAACTAATGTAACTTGAGTGTCCTCTCAATGCTTAAGGCATAGGAGAGAGACACAGGTAATAGCATCATAACAAGTAATGAGAGGAGTCGAGTTTTACTTCCAGGGCATGCCTGAAAAGCCTTGTGTTGGGGTATTATTATTGATGCTGTTGTTGATATTGTTGTTGTTGCATGCTCCTGTGCTTTGGTTTAGCAGAAGACTCACTGAGAGTGCCCCTTGATGGTGAGCTGCTTTGGCCTGCTGTGGAAGCCTTTGGTGGGGCAGATGCATTTTCCATTCTCTTTGCAGACTTGGATTGCTTCCGAATCTGAAACAAAGCTGGCCAACACCACCTACAAAATATACACATTTATTTAGAGACAAAACAAACCAACAAGTATATGCACACTCTTCCTAAAAATGATTCAGAATGAAACTAGGAATTTCCCTATAATATATTAATGATATTGTAGGGTTCACCACGCACTACCAAATGAGCAAGTATGATTATATAGAATTGTGGATACTTCATTTATTCTTCTTTAAATGTCTGAAAAAAACTGATAGATCAAAAAAGAAAATGTACCTGAACAGGGGAAGCAGCTATCAAGAGACCTGCCACTCCGCCTCCCAACACACGGCCATCTGGTCCTGACAAGGACACATTCAGTCCCCCCATCCTTCCACTCTGATCATTTTCAACTCGAAACAAAGAACCACCAAGTGATAGGGTCTCAAATCGTGCCTGAAAACCAAATACCACAAACTGAGGCCATGCAATGCAACTTGTTTAATTTATTGTGACATCATAAACTTTCCTCATCAATGTTCAGGGAGTACACGAGTATCCCTTGTAAATAAAGAATAGTAGCAAACCGTACCCGAGTAACCCCATTTGGTTTTGGACAAATTTTAAACTCAAATTTATCATATAAAGCTATGAAATAAACATCAAAGTTATATTTTTCACTAGGTATGAAAATAAACACAGTTAACCTTAATGTTTTAACTAAAAGTTTGATACAACAACAGAATACAGAATATAATTTGTTAAAATTGCTCCTCCAGAAGGATAATTTGCAACAGATAATAGACGAACATTTATGGTAAAAAGATGATAGATCTAACGGCTGCTATATATTATTTTGCTTAAAGATGAGGTTATTACGAGGCCGCGAAAAGAAAACTTGCTAAGACGTTTATGAACCTCGTAAGTTACAGTTCCACCAGTTGAGTCAGGTTGTCGAAGAGTCATTAGATATGGATCCATTTGCTGTTAAGATGCAAATATTTCTTGGACCACTCTGGGAAATTCTCATAATTCTTGCTGACAAATCCTGAATATCAAAATATATATTTAAAAAGTCAATATTAGGTCCCAGGAGATTCAAACTCGAAATGCTTGGGGATTACTACAATTTAAAACCCCGCCACCTTTTTTCTCCCAAAAGACAATATAAGTGCAATTTAATGAAAAAGTAAAGATAAAAGTGATAAAGTAAGATAAACTCAAAAGGAATCTACACAAGAGAATCAGACGAACTTTAGAATTTAAATGAACTTTTTTTCCTGTTCTTTCCTCCAAAAAGCTTTGAACATTCTCCTACTGCACCGAATATATGTATTCTAGCATACACTATATATCTTGTAGCACATAATTAAGGCATATGATGTGAGAATGTGATATTATGCTTTGATGTAAAGGCACCTACAAAAACATACTTAAAGACTACTACTACTACTGAGTGTACCGCGGTATAACAAACTTTACTTGAAAGTAAAATCTAAACACAACACAATCTATATATATATACTCCTCTCTTTCCCCATTCTTCCTCATCCCTTCCCTTCTTCTCTAGCATTCATAACTCAACAACTATAACCATGGCTTTCTCCTCTTCCAAGGCACTTGTCCTTGCATGCTCCTTCTTCCTATTTGCTTCTTTGGCTTTTGGACGCGATTTCTCCATTGTTGGCTATTCATCGGAGGACTTAAAGTCCATGGATAAGCTCATTGAGCTCTTTGAATCTTGGATGTCAAAACACTGCAAGATTTATGAGAGCATTGAGGAGAAGCTTCTTAGGTTCGAGATTTTCAAAGACAACTTAAAGCACATTGATGAGACAAATAAGGTGGTCAGCAACTACTGGCTTGGTTTGAATGAGTTTGCTGATTTGAGCCACCAAGAGTTTAAGAAAAAGTATTTGGGACTTAAGATTGATTACTCTACAAGGAGAGAGTCTCCAGAGGAATTCTCTTATAAAGATGTTGAATTGCCAAAGTCAGTGGATTGGAGAAAGAAAGGTGCTGTTACCCCAGTCAAGAACCAAGGTTCATGTGGTAAGTATTATATATACTCATTTTTATTGTCATGGGAAATTTTTGCATGGTCCTAACTACTAAGTAGTCATGATCTAGCCAAGTTTTGTAGTTTATAAAAAAGAATTAATAAAATTTGATGATGTATCATGAAGATTCATTCATGCCACAATGATTCATGATTATATAATAACTTCTCTGTGCTCAATTCCTTTATGGTGTAATTCAATTGTTTTGTTCATCTAGCAATTAATATTGACACGGTGATTATGTTGGTTGTTGTAGGTAGCTGCTGGGCGTTTTCCACTGTTGCAGCGGTTGAAGGAATAAACCAGATTGTGACTGGAAATTTGACATCATTGTCTGAGCAAGACTTGATTGACTGTGACAAAACTTACAACAATGGTTGCAATGGTGGTCTCATGGACTATGCATTCTCCTTTATTGTAGAAAACGGTGGACTCCATAAAGAGGAAGATTATCCTTACATTATGGAAGAAGGTACTTGCGAGATGACAAAGGTAATTAATTAAGCTTACTTAACATAAAATCACTATAAGATAGTTTTAATCCAATAAATAAATAACGTATAAACTAAACTTTTTTCACTTGTTCAGGAAGAAACCGAAGTTGTGACTATTAGTGGCTACCATGACGTGCCACAAAACAATGAACAGAGCTTATTGAAAGCACTTGCAAACCAACCCCTCAGTGTTGCCATAGAGGCTTCAGGCAGAGATTTTCAATTTTATAGTGGGGTATGCTTAATTAATTATAAACCAAGTCTTAAAATGACCCTTTTTGTTAACTTTTATCAGAAAAAAATAATTTGAATTAATACACTATGTTAAATTGATTGGATTACCATATGTAGGGTGTTTTTGATGGACATTGTGGAAGTGAGCTAGATCACGGTGTGGCAGCTGTTGGATACGGAAGTTCAAAAGGAGTGGATTATATCATAGTGAAAAATTCATGGGGATCTAAATGGGGAGAGAAAGGATACATAAGAATGAAGAGGAACATTGGAAAGCCAGAGGGTATTTGCGGAATCCTCAAGATGGCTTCTTATCCCACTAAGAAGAAATAAGATTCATTCCCTCTATTGCTTACTCCATTGTTGTTTCTCATTTTCTTTCCTTCTACTAATTAATTCTTCAATGTCTGCCTATTTCAACCTTTCCTGGAAACAATGTAACGTTTTCCATATCATAATATAATCTTGATTAACTCTTTTTTTTTTTTATTTCCTTGAGCAAGTGTCCCATTTTTCGTAACTTTATTATTCCATTGTTGAAAATGATGGTAGAAAATAGAAATGTCTAAGGTGTACATAAAGTTCATGGGTCAATACTTAGTATAATTCATTTCCTAAACCAAAAGCATATAAATGAGACTTGAGGCACTAACCACCCTAATTTGAAGATTATAATAATTAACACACACATACATCGTTTGTCAATCGATAAATTCTTCTAAAAAAAACTAACAATTAAAAAAAATAAATGTGTTTTATCATGTTCTACGTGACAAGTTGGTAAAATAGATTAATGGAACAATTATGCACCAATGCTCAAAATTGTTGACTATGTTGATCAGACCACTAATTTGTATGGTAGAAAATCTATAGTAGGCAACTATATATTCTTAGTAGAAGGTTAATGAATTAATCCTCCAAAAAGTATATAGTAATTTCTAAATCTAGCACAAAATCAAATTATAGAGCCCTTATTGATTTTGTAATAGAAGCAATTTGGATTAGATATTAATTCAGTATCATGGAAAATCAAGTTGCCTAATTATTATGTGAAAACCTTAATGAAATTTTTTAGCTTCCATTTTGATAGAGTAATGATTTTTAGACATCTTACATTCTTAAATTTCTTATAAATACTTGTTTTATTTATTTTTGTATTTCTCTTTCTATCAGATCATATCACCTATTATACATGTATATTTTTTTTTTTCTCTTTTCTCACTCTCTCACAAGGTATCTAATAGCATTTGGAGTATCCAAATATATTTTCTTATTCTGGTATATCATTCAAGATCAATCTAAAAAAAAACTAGTGAATGTTCATTAATCATTACATAAAAGACTAGATTCTCTCAAATGCAAATAGATTATGTTATTAAAGTTTTGACTTATACAATATCCAATCAATGACTTTGAGACAAATATGAATGGAACTCGGCCTAGTGGGAAAAATCCAATATAAATATATAATAACAACAATTCAACAACAAAGCAATAAGTAGCGAAAATTAAACTTTTCAAACTTCAACGAACAACGTCAATAATAAAAAGCAAAATTATAAATCACAAAGAATATATTAGATACAAAAAATTTTAACATATAAAATTTATTGACACAAAATCAAATATGACAAATTGTCTAAACCGAAAAAACTTCACTATCAAAGGTATAAACAAGTGTATAAATTAGTGCATACAAGTAGCTAAACGAACCAAAATATCATTGGTTACAAAGAGAAACAATAATCTCCAAAACAAAGTTGCTGGTACAGCAACTTCTCTGCCTCTTCATACCTTCAATTGAGAATCCAACCATTAATAAATATCTCTTAGGCAAGATTGATATGCAACTAGAGCTTGTACCTTGAAACTAACTATCGGACATTGTCGCTGCCTATAATGTAAGAATTTTATACATGGTACTAAAGATCAAAATGCATTATGTTTATACATGCCTCAATGTTATTAAACTTTGAAACTCCTTATTTATATTTTAATTTGGCTTTACGTATTGTAGTTGTATCAAAAGGATCAAACTAGGATGAGATTGACTTTGAATTTTTGGGTTCAGCCATGACAAAGGCAACAATTCTATCCATTGCACCAACACCATGAGATTTCCTCAAGGCCTTCCTCCAGAGTGTCAACTGTCAACCATCATGAATTTCTCCAAATCCCACACGAAACAGATACCACCACACAATAATATGGCTTTCAGATCTCTTTCTTTCTAAGAAGGTTGAATTGGTTCTCACTTGTATGTTGATTTTTTTATACTTTCTTAATTCTATTACAAGAAACAGAAAAAAGCATCAGTATTAATATTATTTCACTTCTAAAATACTATTTGAGACAAGTTAAAATTTTAAAAGAAGTATATTAGATAAAAATAAAATAAAAAATTGTTAATTTTTTTTTCTCTAAGTTGACACCGTTTGCAAAACTGGTTTAAGGACCATACACATATCTATTGTGATACTTCATCAGTCCGCGACTTTTCTACCGGAATAAAATTTAAAAACTAAATAAATTATTTAAAAAATTAATTATCAAAATAAATAATTTATGTCACGTAGGCAATGTAGCAAACAAAACGTTCTTGAGGTGGAGCTTATGCATTTAAATAGTAGATGAACAGAAAATATCTAAGGAGAAGACATTATACGTTCAAGAAATATTTTCACATTAAAAATCAATTAAACACAAAATACCTCCCATCGAGTGTTTTGTGTTTATTTTGACTTTGAACAGAAAATGTCTTGTTTTTGAATGTTTTGTGTTCAATTTATTATAACAAGCATTATGCCTATCACCTGTACCACTACTACCTATCTAAAATGGCAACATTCAACAACGTAATAATACACTTGTAAAAGGTCATGTAAAACATGAGTTTCGAATCTCTAATGTTCAACTAATGCAAAAATTAAGTGATGATCAATTGAAAAATATATTATATGTGTCACTCCTAAAAATTTAGCTTGATGTAAAAAAAGGACGAATTTCATTAACGATTGTCCCATCACAAAATTCATTTTTTATGACTCTTTTAACCATTAATATCCTATCTTTAATATCATTCCAAACATACTCAAAAACATTATATGGTTGCAACTTCGATAAGAAGTTATTAATAGGTCTAGGATGAATGATTTGTCGAGACATACTTAAGCCATAAAATAAATTAAATTATAAAATTACTTATATTAATATTATTAAATCATGACAAATTTAAATGACTAAATAAAATTTACAACATAAATAATGTTTCTTAAAATTTACTTCAACCACTATAATAAAAAATATATACAATTAAATATGACTATACTAATTAAATGCATCAATGTCTATTTCAAAAAAAATTATATACTATTAAAATGCATGTATTCTATTTTAAAATTCTTCTACAATACTTTAAAATTATATAAAAAAATTAACTTTTCAAAAAATTATACACAATATCAACTAAATATAAATATATTTAATTTATATATTTACTTATAACATATTTTTAAAAAAAAATATATTAATTAAATGAATCTAATATTATATTTTTTAAAAAATATTTTATTAAAATTAAACTTTATATATGCTTAACTTTTATAATATAAAAAAATATGCTTTAAATATAATTAACTTTAAATATGCTTAATGTTAAATATAATTTACTTTAAATATGTTTCACTTTTATAATCAATTTATACGTTTGTAATATCAAATAAAAGATAAATATAAAACTAAAGATATATAAATATAATGAAATTTTATATTCTAATATAATTAAAAAATATAAAACTTTAGATAATTTATTTATATTAAAATTTTAATAATAAAAATATAATAATAAAACTTATCTTTGTTAAATTTCTTATATAATACTTTAAAAATATAAATAGAAAACAAATTACTTTTAGATAAATAGTGGTGGTACAGAGATGTAGATGTAATACTTGCTATAATGAATTAAATACAAAACGCTAAGGGGGAGAATAAACACAAAACTCTTAGGGGGAAGCAAGGCGTTTTGTGTTCAATGACAAGTTAAACACAAAATGTCTCTTCCCTAAGCATTTTTAACACAAAATATTTAGGGGGAGGCACTTTGTATTTAGCTTGCCATTGAACACAAAATGTATTTCCTCTAGGTATTTTGTGTTTAACCAATTTCTAATGTGAAAACATTTTTTTGAATAGATAACGCTTTTCCGTAGACATTTTTTGTTCATCTATTGTTTGAATGCATAATGCTTCTACCTAGAGACGTTTTGTTTGCTACGTTGTCTACATGGTAAAAATTATTTATTTTGATAATTAGTTTTTCAAGTAATTTATTTTTTATATTTTTTAATTTATTTTGGTTGAAAAGTTGCTTGTCCACTCCTTTACCTTGATTCTTAAAGAAAATTTTTAACATTAAATATATTTTTAGTTTTCTATTTTTTTTTCTTAATTTTTACTTTTATTGTAACGACCTATTAATGGTCCCTACACTAATCAAAACTACTACTAGCAACAAAAATTCATCTAATGACTTAGGATTGAAAGCATAATAATACCTAAATATGTATCATAGATAAGGTATATAATAGAGCATCAACTACATAAGTATGTCTATATTATATAGATATAGTCATTCATGGAAATGTAAATTATATAACCTAAGTTACCAATCAAGTAACTTCTATACATCATTGTAGAAATTCCTCTAGGGTAACTTCAAAAAGAAACAACTAGCTCCAACTTGGTCTCCACTGCATAACTCCATTGACTAACTTATTCATGTACTACTTTCATACCATGTATATGTTGAATATGGTGTGGCAAATTTAGTCCCACATCGAATAAGTTTTTTTTTGATGTGGAAAAATTAGTCCCACATTGGATAGGTTTGGGAATGTGTAGTGCCTTAGGTTCTATATATAGAAACCCTTCCCTTCACTTTGAAATCATCCCAACTACAAGTTCATTTGTAACTTTTAAGGCTTGTAGTTTTCTCTTCTCTCTCTATTGAAATATTTCTTAGTGAAATATATTTGGTAGTGTCCGAGGAAGAAAATCAAATTCATATCTTTTATCACTCAAACAATAATCATATTAATTTGAACTCATATTTATTCAAAATCAATTCTACAAATTCACATCGATTGAAAATTAATTATACCATATTCAAACTTCGGAGCACACAGTGTAATGGTTGCAGGTGGTGCATGTTTTGCTTGAAACCACTTCCAATAAAAAAATATGTTAAGATGTTAATTGAAATGCGACACAAACCGACTCCAGTAAACTCTTCCACAATTTTTCACTCCTCTCCTCCATAAACACCAGAACCCAGAGACAATTCTTTCAAAAATTTGATTTTCACGGAGAGTTATGAGAATAGAGTGTTAGAAATTTTATTTCTAATAATTATTATGGGCTGCATATATTATTTGTAGTATTTATATTAGTTATTTACATTTAGTTGGGCTCAATAAAAGTGATCTA